GGTTGTCGAAATTTAAGAAGAGAAATGGTTTATCTTTGAGAAGAAAAACCTTTGTTGCTCAACAAGATCCAGAACGAATGATAGCTAAAGTCGTGTCATACGTAATTCAAGTAAGATGGCTGCAGAAAAAGCACAAATACAGCCACTCTAATATAAATGCAATGGATGAAACTCCAGTTTGGTGCGATATGGTATCCGAAACCACTATTGACACAGTCGGGAAAAAAAGCATTACGCTGAAGACGACGGGTCATGAAAAGCCTAGAGTATCCGTTTGCTTAGCTGCCAAGGTCGATGGGACAAAACTTAAGCCCATGGTAATATTTAAAGGAGCGAAACGAGAATCCGCGGCACCAAACGAAGAGTTCAAACGTAGAGCGGTGGTAGCCACTTCGGTAAATGGATGGATGGACACCGAATTAACCCGTACCTGGATCAATCTGTTCGAGGAGCTTTTTCTTTCAACCGAAGGCTGTTAGCTTGGGACTCGAACGAATGTCACCTTGAGGACAGTGTTACCGACTCTCTCAAATCCAACAAAATCGACCGCGTGATTGTCCCCGTAGGTTGTACCAAGTACATACAGGCGCCAGACGTAAGTTGGAACAAACCATTTAAAGCGTCCCGCACAGAGAAGTACAGTGAATGGCTGGCGACAGTAGGTATTCACGAAGAAACAGCAGCTGGGAATTTGAAAGCACCACCATCAAAAACAATTTTGCAGTGGATCCTGGATTCCTGGGCTGAATTGCCTACAAATGTGATTAAGAAATCGTTCACAAGTTGTGCATTGAACGTTCCAGTTGACGGTTCAGAAGATGACGCAACTCACTGTCTCAAGGAGGAACAGCCGTGTAGCACCGGACAAGCCGTCCTGAAGTCACAACTGGATATTCTCGACGAACCAGAAACGGATCCTTTCGACACTGAAGAATACACGTCTTCTGATGTTGTAGAGGCATGCCCGATTATTCAGTAGTTAGTCTCGGACCTCGAAGGAGACAGTGACATTGAAATAGACTGAAAGTCTGAAACTTACTGGTCTAGTCATTATATGAAAGACAGTGGACAGTTCAATTTCCATATATAATCATATAAATTGAAAAGACATATAACTTTTATTCTTAGTTTTTTTTGGGTTGATTGTATTGGTTAAATTGACGTTTAAATGACACAATAAATTCAAAGTTCTTGTTACAAGGTTTGCAATAAATGCCTCCCTCGAATAAACGCCGCCCTCAAATAAACACCGCATCTTGAGGGCCAAAAATTTAATAAACGCCGCGGTGTTTATTCGAATAGTTACGGTAACTGACGAAGGGCTAAAGCTCGAAACGTCAGCCTTTTAACTCTTTACGGTGGCCAATTTACATTTTATACTCAGTTGTTGACACTAAATTACTTGCAATAGGAGGTGTGGTTTATTACTTGAACATACACGTATATGTTGTGCTTGAACCTTCTGATTCTGCCAAAAAAAAAGGGAAAAAAAGAGTGTCTTTATTTGTTGAGATAAAATTATAAGTTGACTTGAAAAACCGCCTGGTAGAGTAATTTCGAAGGCTCAGTGGAAATCAATTTGCTGAAAAAAGAAATGTTCCCTCTAATTAATCTAGTCGATGATACATCGTTAAAATAGGAGCATCACACAAACTTAACCACAAAACCTACCAATTTCTCATCAACACAAAGTGGGATGTAATTTGGGAAGGGTTGTAGTTAGCTTTCGTGTTGTACCAATTCTCGATAAGGAACAGTTTGAGCTCAAAAAAATATTTACGCTGTTTATGAAGTATAATAAAGCATTTCAGACATTGAGAGAAGGTCAAAAGAAATTTTAGAAGACCAGCCTCACTTCCATGCTGTCTTAGTCACGTGACTAATCTTGTGACTCACAATTACTGAGCATGCATTCATGATAACGGCAACGTAGATTTATATCTTTGGTGCTATTTTGGTTCTATATGGCCCATAATAAACGAAGTTATAAGTTGTTTTATGTAAAAATAAATGTTAAGTTTTTCGTTTGTCTCACGATGTAGTCTTCTTCAGGCGATGTCACAATCTGATTAGTCAATTTTCCCTTGTCGATTAGAGTACAGCCTGTCAGCCTTCTTTGATAAATTGTTCCGATATAATATTCGAAGTCGACTGTTTTCCCGTTACTCCGTCTGCAATTTTTTCCCAATAGCAATTTTTTCACGACTCTTAGCCTTGAAGCTACAGAGGTGACCATAAATTTCATTTGCGTGTTGAAAATTCATCCATTGTTTTTTTTTATCTGTTCATTCATTTATCTAAATCCAACTACTTTTCATTTTTAATAGACACTATTCCATTACCAATACCAACTTTGGAGTAACAAGGAGAGCTTGAACTTATCGGAGGGTGAAATTGGGTTTCACTCAGAAGAGAACAAGCTACCGTCCTACCGGAAAACATCCATCTCTAAGATCTGTATCGATATCAAGACTGACGAACAGATCAGGTTCAATGTCATCCATTAGAAAGCCAGTTCTCAGTACTCACTGATCGCTGACGGGAAATTCCACCAACTTCCTTAGATCGCGACAACTCACAGGCCTCCCTACAACTGAATTATAACAAGGAAGGTTTCAATGCAAAGAGTCCTTCTGCTCAGTCTAGCAACACAAGGATTGGATTTCTCGGTAACAACAAAGATTATTGCAGAAATTGTGATTCCAGAATTGGGTTTAGTACAGAAAACCCAGTGGTAAACACAACACTTGTGGTAACAGAGTAACGCACCATGGAGATAATGGCAACAAAGACATCAAAGCCATGGGGTACATCCATGTGCAGTGAGATGGAAACTATGTACTTTCCCAAGAACATACGCAAAATATGAATTAGATACATATAGATGTGGTTTAAGGGGTACAAAGTTATGGACACTAAGTTTAAACTAATCACCACCCTTTCCCAAGGACTACCTCAAATTGCTATTTTTAAAAGCCAATTTTCCTATAACATTAACATTTCGGAACTACTTTTGGTAGCAGGAGAAAAAAATTAAAATCCTGTAGGTTGGCACAGCCAGCCTCTTTAATAGCCATAGGACATTGTTTCGCCTCTCGGCGGCGCTGATGCGTGCTAGACAGCAAAGAGCGGACTAATGTCGGGAAAATTAAGTGTAATTCGCGTGAATATGTTGCTTTTTGTGTCGATACAGAAGGTGCTTCAACCAGCAAAAAAAGGAGGAAAGAGGTCAGGCAGAGGAAGGAGAGCTATACTGGAAACAACACAGTTTTTCAATAATCGATACCCGAAGTCTAATGCTACGCGAATGATGGACTGCGGGTGATGTTTTTCCGCGAACTCGCGCCTTCGGCAACTTCGATAGATATAGGCTCTGGCCAATGAATCTCTTAATTCAAGTAAGAACCCCTTTCACAATCAGTTAACCTTTTTAAGTTTTCCTTTTAAACGGCAGAAAGGACTTGTAGCTTTCAGACATGATAACAGCTTGAAAACAAGAGTTGAATTAAAAAGAAAAAACAACAATCTCTCTGCCTTTCGGTGAGAACTAATCTTGGTAGACTTGATAACAAATAAGTGATTTCGGAATTGTACGAAACTGCACAGTGTGCTTTTAAAATCAGTTGGTTTTGAAATTGTTAATTTGGGTGACGAGAAGAAGTCGACATGAAGTGTCATCAATCTCGCGCCTTCCGTTCTAGTCTCAAATTACTTCTCTCTTTTTATCTCTGAAAGTTTAAAGAATACCTTAATTGTAGTAGGAACCCCTATCACCATCAGTGAACAATAATTCCGTTCCGATGCAAGTGAACTCTAAAGAAATTTTCCTTTTAAACGGCAGAAAGGACATAGCTTTTAGACATGAGAACAGCTTGAAAACAAGAATTGAATAATAAAAACAAAACAATCTCTCTAGCTTTGGAAAGAACTAATGTAAGTAGACTTGATAACAAATAGTTGATTTCGGAACTGTACGAAACTGCACAGTGTGCTTTTAAAATCAACAGTGGTTTTGAAATCGTTAATTTGGGTGACGAGAAGAAGTTGACATCAATCTCGTGCCTTCCGTCCTAGTTTTAAATTACTTTTTGCTTTTATCTCTGAAAGTGAAAAAGGAAAAAAAGAAGAAAAATACCAGAAGTTGATAGATCTTTATTTATTTTTTAAGAAGATGTTGAATTTTCAGGGAATCGAAAACACAATTTTTTTTTTCCTTTTGTAATACCTTAATTGATAATAAGGCGCCGTGTCGTCCAATTCGGTCTGTAATCATACTTGTGATAAACAAATCGCACTCCCGCTGCACGGTCGATCAATTTTGTTATCACTCGTATGATTATAGACCGAATTTGAATCCACTCAGTTCCATTACCATTACTAACCTCTTTTTGGGTACGGTTTTTTTCTTAAAGTTAAAAAAAAAACGACATAAAACATATGACATATATAGGCATGTTATTGAGTAACTTTCAAAACGCTTAGTACGAAAAATTGGGAGGACTTAGTGACTTCTATTGAATCAACAATGCTGTCTTTGACAAAATAAATTACAGTTTAAAGAATCAACCGGTTCAAACTCAAGTTTCAATAACTGAAAGAAAGACAGGCAGTTTTAGTCGAAAAGAAAAAAATTTCGTCTTGTCGTAAGATTAGTTTTGCTATTATTCATTTTTGAGCGGAGAATGATGAAGGGGAATGAGTAGGAACCTTTCTTTCTTGGGAAATCGATTTTTAGACTTGTAGTGCTATTAGGCAGATGTTATTAATCATTAATTAACCTGCCTAGACGATTAGATTTAAATAATGTAGTTTCCCTCAATGGATTGAGTACTTAAAAGATAAGGTGACAAACACGTTCCGTTGGCGCTACACCAATAGATAGCCTCCTAGAAAGAAAACAACAAATTGAACCCCGCGTATTATTGGTTGGAAGAGAATCACAAAGGCTCGATTAAAGTGGAACACGTTGTAAAACAGGTTTTCAGATCAGCTTGCTAATCTCGCGTGAAGTTGGTACAGAATCCAATGTGCGTCATGGAAAATACGATCTGTCCTCTTCTGTCTCTGTTCCTTCTGTTGTCTGCCTCTGTCTCGTCTCAAGGTTAGTTTTTCCAGAGCCTTATTTTGAGTGAAGGATGGTGAGGGTAAATTAGTAATATATGCAGAACGATTCTCATTAATCACACTTGTCGGTTAACACCTGTCATTTCTCTGAATTAGACATAAGTTTTCTTATCTTCACCATAGAAATCCCTTTGTCCGCAGTTTAAAAATTCCATAAAATTCCTTTACTTTCTATCGGATAAAATTATAGGTGAATCGATGTCTTTATTTTCTCTCAATTCATATGGGTTCGTGTAAACATTTCTCCGCAACTAATTACCTACCAGATTATAAAGCTAAAAAATCATCAAGAACAGAGGTCAACATTTGACGGAAATTGAAAATTTAGAAGTCATCAAAATCAGCAAGTTCGCTGGCTGTATTCTGAAAGATTTGTCATGTTGTATTCTGAAAGATGTGTCATGTTGCACGTGAAATCGCTACAGTCGAACCTTGATTATCCGGACTCATCGGGACCTCGGTAAATAGTCCGGATAATCAAGAGTCCGGATAATAGAAAATATGAATATTAATAAGATAGAAATGTGAAATAATTATCTGCTTATCTTTAATCAATAGAACGGCTAGCTTTCGCTTCGTAGGCATGTTTTTGATTTGAGTTTACGATCGATCGCTCGTGTGTTTACATAACCCACGTGGAAGGAGCTAATCAAGCATGAAATTCCCTTGGCAACAAAACAATTGAGCCAACCATATATCAGCTGAACGCATCAGAATATTTCTTTGTCTCGTCGCACTTTCGAATTTTGAAAAGCGCACAGAATAATACGCTGTTTCAACAGTCTTTTGAAAGGTTTATTGGGCTTTTTGCGACTTTGAGTTTTCAAGATCACAACTAATGAAAATTGGAACCAGAGAAGAAAGTCCGGATAATCGAATAGTCCGGATAATCGGGGTCCGGATAATCGAGGTTCGACTGTATTGCCAATTAATCGATTACCCGAGGGTAATTTACCTAAACCAACCATTGCAAGATATTCAGTTCGTTTAATCAAACCTTGTGATGAAACAAAGGCTTCTAGAGTAGAGCTCAGAGTTTAGGCTTTCATAGCTCATGTTTTTATCGTCTTGACCATGTCACACTTCATCACAATGAACACAAACGGTAGATCGCCAAATATCACGCATCAAATTTTTATCACAGAACCACCAACCAGTCGACCGCTACTCTTAAACTAATCGCACCACAAGAATGCGCACTGAAATGATATTTAAAAAAACACGAAAAATGCCCTTGGAATAGGGGTATGTATGGGGGATCAGTATTCTCAGTTTATATTGTTATGTAGCATTTAGTATAAGTTTCTAATTAATAAGTCAGTTAGTTATAGTCAGTTCAGTATGATTTAATTTTTCGTCTATATTTACAACGTATTTATGGTATGAATTCGAATTCCGAAGTGATTAAGGTTTGAGCTGTCGTGATAAGTTTACAAAGTGTCACAGCCTCAAGTGGACGTGCTTAGTTTGTTCACTGATCTTGCTTTAGACTTAGCCGAAAGTTCTTGTTTTGACGAACGCAGTCAGATGTCGATTCAGTTTAACGAAAGCATCATGATTTAATACTTTTTTTTTAGATCGAAAGTCTCGTGAAATTGTGTGGTTTAGCGTTCTAAAAACAAGCGTTTGATTTCTCAGGGTCAGCCAGCTGGCACGCCCACCCATATCTGCCATATCTGTCAGTAGTGAATATATGAGCCTGTTCTTTACAGTTTACTTAGAAGAGAGTGGGAAAAAGAGAGAAAAAATAATATAGAAAATAGAGAAAAGAGAAGACTAGAAGAATGTAGACAACGTGCAAAAGAGTAGAGTCAGAATTCCGTAGTTGAAGAAGAAGTATGCAGTGAGAATCAAAGTTTGAGGGCCATGAAGATTAACCAGAGTTACCCAAAATGCTAATGTAAAAGACCATTCGATCATGCATACCTCAAGCAAGCAAAAAACTTCTGTAAAATGACACCGCTATTCCAAATTCCAAAAGAAGATGATTACGAAGAACCGAGTAATAATAGAACGATTTCTCTACTGCCTGTTTTATCTCTCATTTTATGTAAAGACTCCCATTCAATCAAAGCAGATATAAGGAATGGCTCTCAACTGAAAATTCATTACTGTCTTTTATGAATGCTTCCTTACGAGCGATTGACCAGACTGTATCTATGTAAGTTATCAACCGGCAATCGGTGAGAGATACAAAACCGAGGGCTACGTGGATGACATCAAGCTACTTTTGCCTTACAAGGTTGGAGCAAAACACATCATCCATAACGATTTACATCTAAGCCGTAATTGGTCTTTAAAATTGTCTTTGCTCAACACGGAAAAGACTAAGCTTGTGGTCTTTGGCAGTCTCCCGACGAACCGCTGATTACAGGGTTCCAAGCTCTCTTGCTCGGAAAGCAACTCATGATAATAATAATAATAATAATAATAATAATAATAATAACAATGATGATGATGATGATGATGATGATGATAACAGTGGTGCGAATAATATAGGAAAGGACAGATATCTGACCGATCTGATAACAAATAAACGTTCAGTCAGTTAAAACCGCTACTGGCCAGAAATCATTCCATCGAAAGATAGGGAACGTAAGGAATTCATTTGAAAAAGATTCACAACTGTTTAAAGGTCCTACTAATTTAAGCAAATTAAAAAAAAGGGTTTAGCAAATTTTGAAATCAAGACTAATTGCAACATTGGAAAACCTTTTTGCGGGATTGTGCAATAAATTTTCATTCAAATCAATAATACCTGCCCTAGAGCATTGTTTTTTTTTCATTTCGCCGCCCAAATTTTCAATCTAAGCCTGCAGAAGGATGATAATAGCCACCTGGAAATTGTGTAGAATAAATAAAATCATCTAATTTTCTTCAATTTTATTACAGTGCTGAGGGCAAAACATATTTGGCACATCTTATAAATTTAGCGTCAACTATATCGGCAAATTAAAGGCTTATTTCTCTCCGTTTAGTTTCTTCCTAAATCTACATCTAGATCTAAGAATATTTTCAGACGGGTGCCACTGTTCGTTAAATTTATTTATTAATCATTAATTGCCTTTTAAAGAAGACGAGCGAAGTCATTTGAATAATTAAGTCTCACTCTTTGAATAAAATTCATATTAGCACCGATAGTAATTGTTTTTTATTTATTTTATTTGTTTTATTTTTTTTTTTCAATATTATGAAGCAGCAAAATTTTATTAATATTTCACTGGTCAAACGGAAATGGAAAATTTTTGTTGAACAGAAGATTATGAAGATTGTTCACATAAGTGTCCACCTCCCTGAGGATTTTATTCTCGGAAAGTGATTCGCACCATGGAAATTTTACATTATATGTGTCTTTTCCTATTCTTAAACGGTATCGTGACTGCCTTTGTCACATCGCAAGGTTAGTCTCTGTAATCACTCCTCTCTGACTAAAAAAAAAAAAATGTTAGGGAGTTTGATCTTCCATAATCACATCTAGCCCAAATATCTGCTATTTTTAAGAGGATATGTCTTGTTAGTTTTTTATCTTCATTATCAATACAATTTCGCTTAGCTGCATCTCGGCATGAAAATCATCATTTTGAAAACCAATTTCTCTAAACTCCTTGACCAAGTCAATTTTAGGTGGGTAAATCGATGTACGGAAAGAGTCTTTTGCAACAGTAAACATAAGAAGTGACGGGTTATGCAGTAAAATTGCATGTGCTTTCAAGTTTCATCCAGTCTCTATCTGTTTTAGTATGTACTGGATTCGTCCAAGAGGAAGCTTCATATCGTTAATGTTGTCGTCTGAATGAATGCAAAGACTCATCCTTTTATTGCGCTGCTCCTCTGATGTGTCCACTGTATCGGTTGGCTTGGTAATAATCATGATCTCCGACAAAAAGTCGATTAATCTGTCATGGCTAAGTGAGAGACACAAGTTATCAACTCAACTCAATAGCTTTTTAGTAGTGTTTAGAAGTCCTACCAAGAGGTCCCTTAGCGGTGCAGTCGTTAAATAGTTCTTTTTGGGCTGAGAGTTCACCGAATTGAGCCATTATCATTGCCCAATAATTTTACAACGAGATTTAGTTTGACACCGTGAACTGGAAGTATGCTGAAATCTGAAACTTGCTACTTGACAGGCAGCTTCATTAGCTGGTTTCACTGATCTGGACTTACTCTCAGATGTAATAACTTCGCTATTCAATCCTCTTTACTTAATTTACAGCTTAAGCGTTTGGTTGAAAAAAAGCAGAACTTATTTGAACTTCTTCGAATTAGTTTGAATTTACTGGCGATGAAAAATATAATTCTTCAATGACATTACCGAGATCGGGGGGTTTGCAATCGTCAACTTCTTAATTAAAGATACTGTAGTACGTTTCTCCGCAAGATGAATGGATTGAATCATCCAATTCTTCCTCTGGGGGCAGTATAAATCAGGGATTAATAGACGAACGACTACAAGGTTTGAATGCTTTATCGATTAAAATTCTAAAATGAATGAATGAAACATCACTAGGTCGTCACACATGGAAGTCGCTGATTGGCTCTGAGGCCTCGTTACAAGATAATTGAAACAAGGAAGGGTTCAATGCTGCGGTTAATGATCAGTTTTCCAAAGCAAGAATTGGTATAATTGCCAATACCCAAAAAGAGTGCGAATCCTGTGATTCCAGAATTGGCTTTGGCACAGGTGGCTCTCCTGACAACTCCAACACGTGTGGAGTTGTCAGGAGAGGGTTTCCCAAATCGAATTTGCAAAATCTCGCTTCCTATCAAAAGCAACGATTTGCTCGTTCTTAGTAATAGAGAGGGACATCTTATACAAAAATAATGCAGTCAAAAGTCGCACATTAACAAAAGAAAAATGATAGCGTTTATGAAATTATCTGTAAGGACGCCAAATGATGGAACACTTAGCACTTTTCGAACAAAGTGATGTGGGAGTTCTTTAGACTAAAGATTTTATATTTTGAGCTTTCCACAGACTAAACATTTTATATTTTGAGCTTTCCACGGACTAAACATTTTATATTTTGAGCTTTCCACAGACTAAACATCACATTTCAATCTTTTTTAACAAAAAAATAATGCAGTCAAAAGTCGTTCATGCACTCATGAATAAGATATTGGCGGAACAAATTTCAATTCCTTACCGAAACACCGTAAGGAAGACATCGGAAATAGCCCGTGTTTTGCGAAATTCACGAAAGAAAATTGATAATGTTAATGGAATTATCTGTAAGGACGCCAAATAATGGAACACTTAGCACTTTCCGAACAAAGTAATGTGGCAATTGACACGCTCTTGTACTCCTATACCACTTAAATGTGATATTATTATCAATCCGTTTTATTCACATTGTCCTTGGGAAGTGTTAGCGGACATAAATTCCTAGATGTATCTGTTTTTCCCCAAATTATAGAAAAATGAATAATTATATTTTCTCAACCGACAGGAACAGTCACCTTGGAAACCGAGGATAATCAAGAAACTTCACCACAGATGTCTAGTCTGCTTTCCTTGGACAAGTTTCAATATCTGAATGCTCCTAAACTTGACGAAATCATTACAAACGACGACTTTGAATGCATGTTTAGGTGCCTTCACCATCCTCTGTGTGTTTCCGTAAACCTGGTTGCCGAAAGTGAACTGCGGTGTGAGTTACTGTCACCTCATGAGAACAGCAATCCTATCGAGTACAAAGAAAATAAGACTGCGCATCATTCTCACTTCTTGGTAAGGGATTATCTTGATCTTTAACTCAAACCGATAGCTTATTTGCATCAATAAAGTCCAAATGAAGAATTTTCCTAAACTCTGTTTTACATGGTAAGCGAGGAAAATACAAATGCAAAGGGAATAATGTTACTCACAAAGAACACGAGGTCGAGCTATAAAAGGTCATAACCTACTAAATTAATCATTCATTTTTATCCATTACATTCTAGCTAGTTCTTCAGTATTGTTCCCCATTCTGATGGCCCAATTATGATGAAACAAAACATGGGTTCAACTGTTATCATATCAAATCAAAATGATACCTGTTTATCCCTGCGTTTTAGTATCAATTTTAGAGTTTTTGTATATGGAAGGAGGGTCTCAAAAGAACCTCACATTTTCAGAATGGTGAAGGTTTATAAGATAGAAATTAATTGCTTTAAGGGTTTATGTTTATTTATTTATTTCTGCTTCAGAATGCTTGTGTAAGAAATCCCTGCAAAAACAATTCCACTTGCCGAAGCGATTTTACTGGAAAAGGTTATATCTGTTTGTGTTCAACTGGGTTCAAGGGCCCTAATTGTCAAGAAGGTAAGACACGTTTTCAATACTAAAAAATTGTACAAAAACAAACGAAAAAAAACACACGTGGACATCACAGTTCGTGACGTATTGATCGAAACTCCCGGGTTTAAGGTCTATATAATGTTGCAAACAAGTTTGGGTGGGCTTTTTAAATCCTAGGGATGGGAGGCGCTGATGAAAAGATTAAAAAAGCCTACACGATCATGAAGTTGGAAGCTATTGCCCATGTTATCGACTAATAAAGCAAGGAAAACATTTTTCAGATGTTGATGAGTGTGCTGAGGGATCACATGAGTGCAGTGTTGATGCTGTGTGTAACAATACCAAGGGATCTTACAAATGCACGTGTAAACCAGGATACCATGGAGATGGATTGACGTGCGAGGGTAAAATTTTTCAATTTTCTCATCCTTTTTAATCCAATTTAGCCAGCATGATAATTATCGATCAGAAATGTCTTTACAATCAAGACCGAAGGTTCTACTGTGAGAATACCACCTGCGACTTTGACAGGTGTTTCGTTCACTGCACACCACGAAGTTGCTTTTTTTGGGCTTCCCCGCTCAAGTTTATAGTATGTAATAAGTACGAGATTTAAATAAACTTATTAAGATAGCTTATCAAGCTACCAGTTTCACCCCAAAATGCTATTCAATTAGCTTACATTTGCTGAGTAAAAGTTTTTCGTCAGTTTTAAACGAAATGTTACTTGTCCTGTGTAATATGCGTATCAAGGCATCATCAGATTGGGGTGGGTATATACTGATCCAAATACACCTCAACAATACGCGAAATACCCATGTAATTCTGTACTTCTCCTTATTTTAGGTCCTTTCTCTCATTCGTGCACAGAAATTTACAAAAGTCAAAGGTACGTAAAAATCGATAATTATTTTTAGTTAAGTGTTAGGGTTGTGAAAGAAAACCCTAAAAATAAACCTAGAGGTTGCTGAACGCCTTCTCGAAAGAGTAAAATTAAAACTATACAGTAGAACCTTAACTGAACGGTCCCTTACAGACCAAGAAATCTGGCCATTTTAAAATAAAGGTCGTTATAGAAGGTTGGTTTGACATTGCATCTGTTTTTACAAAAATCAGGTCTTTTTTGTCTTTCAAAATCTTTCGTTACTACGGGAGTAAACCAAGTTTTGCCATTCAGAAGAAAATGCATTTTGCCAATATAGAACGAAGAAGCCATGTTATGTGTTTCGCTAAAATAATTAACGACAACCATGGTGTATATTCTTGTTAGCAAGATGAATCTGTCAAAGTTCCCCGCACGAGCCACTTTTTACTCATTTTGCCAATTTATTCATCATTTCTCAGATATCAGGTCTACGTTGGAGACCTTGAAAAGCCTTGCTACGCGATAAATATACTTTTCTATGCCAAAACGTTTCAAATACTAAACATATCTCGAACTGGAAAAAGCTGCACGGCCCTGTGTGCTGTGAGAGAATTGAACAAAGGATCAAGAAGAGAGAGCGACACTAGGTCCCTATGTCATGGTATACAGCCAAAAAGCCAGTTCATAGTAACATAGTTGTTACTCCACGTAAATCAAATGAAACAAATAATTAACACGTAGAAAAAACGACTCAGCCTCAGTTCACAGGAGAATAGAGCTTATCAACTTCTAGTGGATTATGCGAAGGTCAATGTTTACTGTCACATGACTGATGAACTTGACAGCTGCGGGGGTGGTGGATGGACTATGGTAATGAAAATGGCCGGCGAGAAGGTATCTTGCTTCTCATCACTATTAAACTTGATGCAAATGTTCTATTGAAATGGAAACATTTAACAGGTGACCTGTTGATGAAAGGAACTATCATCAGTATGCGCTATATACTGTCCCTTAATGTATATCAAAATAATTGAGTTGATAATGGAAATTGGCCACCGACTGTAAAGAGTTTCAAAGCTTACTTAGCACCGACTGCACGGATGACACTTTCCCCTTTTAAATCTTAAATCCTTGTAAAGGGTGACATGACCAAGCTTTATCCTTCGAACATTGGCAACGTAAACCTAACGTGGAATTTCAAATTCATAAATGAATTCAGACGAATGTTTAGCCTCAATATTTATTCACCTAAAAGACTGACCCAAAAAAAGCAACCAGGAAAGCGAAAAACAACAATAATAATGATGACAGCCTTGAGGCTCAATGCCGAAGGCCTCAAATTAACGTAATTTAGACAGATCAAGTTCCCCACTCTTGCTGTAAGAACATTTCGAATCATTTTACCCGTTGTGATTCAAAAAAATTATTTTCAAATCGATTCAACCATCATTCAATTAACTTCAAATTTTCCATCTACATAGCCAAACTTCAACTATGATTCAGAACTTTGGAATAACACTGATGACTTCAATCCTAGAGGTGGGGAGACTGGGTTTGACTTAAATGAGACGAAGCTACCGACATACTGGAAAACATCGTTCTCTAAGATTTGTCTTGGAATGAAGCTCGGCAATCTTTCAAGGTTCATTGTCATCAAAAAGGAAGCCAGCTCTTTGTACTCACTGATCGCCGACGGACATTATCGTAAAACATCACTGGGTCGTGACACATGGAAGTCGCTGATTGG